TACCGTGTGACGTCATTGTTGAGACCCATAAGAGAAGGACAGTGGAGACCCCCTAAGGTGGGCAAATGACCCCTACAGGGGCCACACAGCCAGTCTTTCAGGCTTTGCAGGTCAGGAGACTAAATCAAGCATAATGTGTGCATACTTGTGTAACTACTTCGCATGCAACCATTTAAATCTATAAACACTATTCTTAGCTTGCAAGCCATATAAAAACAGGTGATGGGCCAGGTTTAGCCCAACAATTGCCGACTCTTGCTCAAGGTCATGCCAAGTGCAAAAGAGAACTGTTTACTCTTCAGAAAGTACTGGTGCAGGACGGGGCCCTCGTGGACACAGCGCTGGGCCGTTGGACACTAAGTCACTGTGCACCCCGAGTTGCCCAGTGAGCTGGGTGTTTTCAGATTCTGTGGAAGTCAGAAGATTCCGAGGTGCTTCTTGGGGCTCCCTGCCTGGTGGTGACCACAAGCAGGCCACTGCAGCAGCAACAACCTGACAAAGGTGTGGTGGCCAAGGGTGGCCAGGAATGGAGGCCTCCTGCTGCACCAGGAGAACAATCAGTAGCCCCCAGGGCCAGGGTGGTGGAGGGAGAGCGTCACCACGGTTCAGATCATCACTCTCCTAATTGCAGCTGTGAGGATCACAGCTTCGACCATTCACCTCCCAGTGGTTCTTTTTTGGGGATACCAGCCACCACCTGAAAGCATCCAGAGGGCCAGCGAGGGCACCACACAAGGGTACAAGCAGCACAGACAATGGGCCCTGCCTGCATCCTCAGCAACCCCCTTCAGCACCCCCCCCCCCATGATCCAGGCCCCGCAGACACAGGAAACTTTAAGTCACATGGAATAAGTCCAGATGAGGTGACAGGGGCCGGTGACCCCCTCTGGGCCTTGTTCCAGGGCTAGGGAGGAGGGGGCAAGAGGAGGGTCCTGTGAGTCCACCTCCAACTCTGACGGGCACAGAGGGGCCTTGGGCCTGACCTTGGTGAGAGCACCCTGGGGCGGGGGCAGGGAGAGGGCTTGGGTCTCTGCAGAGGGATCCCCATCCATGGGGAATTCTCTTCTGATTTCTGGGCTCTCCTAGACAGGAGGTGTGGGGATTACACAGGGGTCAGGGGAAGCTGGGCCACTGAAGCAACCCTCCCCACCCGGACTCTCCAGTGTAGTAGACAAATGTGCACACACGCCATCTAGCAAATTCAGCATCACTGTGACTCTCCAGCCCCCACATTCCGGACAGGGTGGGGTTGGTCAGGACAGGGCTCTGCAGCAGGAGGTGGGGCCAGGAAAGGGGGTTTATGCCACCTGGCCATTCCTGTGTCCTGCCTGGCCCCAGGTCTCCCTCAACAAGTCACCTGACCAAGAGAAGTGACTAAGTTACCTCCCTGTCCCCCAAATCCTCGCCACGTCCCTCAGTAACCAAAGGAGTCATTTACTCTGGAGCGGCCTCGTTGGCAGGGAGTTCACAGTTTTCCAGGCCCAGGTGAAAAATGGGTTCTCAGGAGCCTATATGCCTGGCACCAGGATAAGGCAGGAGGCCAGCGGAAGTACTGGCAGTGCCCATACCTGGCATGGCCCCTCACCCAGAGGACAGATGTGGCAGGCTCTTGCAGCCACCCACACTGCACCTGTTGTATGTGGGGAGCAAAGAGGAAGAGATTTCTCCAGCACTGGGATGGGGGGGTGGGTACTGTGCCCTCTACACCT